TTCACACCGCCACCTACTGTCCGGGAGGAGAACAACTACCTTTCCATGACTCAACGACAGTTTATCTTCCAACCCGGTTGTGCGCTGGTGTTTGAGATGACACTAACTGGTGAGTATGAAGTGAAGTGAAGTTTATAACAGGTTAGGCTGAAGGCGTGGTGTGAATTATGGACCGTAACTGGTGTTTACCTTGAGTAGCATCAATCCTGTGACGTCATAACTGTAGCTCTACGTTTTCTAAGCACCGTTTTGCCCTGACATCAACATTGCACTTAGTATTTTACACACAACCACGGCGTTTCTTTTTAAAGGCAATGGCTCCCAAAGCATGGTTTGAGCACCACTGGTGGCACTTGGCCTCCCTCTAGTGGTACACAAGGAGATCTTATTCCTATTAGAATCAGGACATTCGGTGTCTTCTTGTATACAGTGGCCAGCTGAAAGAAGCAAATCATGTTGCTGCTGTAATTATATTGTACATGCTATAAAATACATATGGATATATATTTATAAATACATTAGCCTACATACAGTAAACACCATATATGAGCAATAAAAGAATGTGTGCAACGAGAAAAAAAATACTGCACACAAAAACACAGGGTTTTTTTAAGCATACTGTCTTTACCATAATAACATGCCATAATGTTCTGTTATGTTTCCAAGTCTGTGGTTGAAAGTATAATTTTGTCTCTAGTTTTACTTTTGACCACAAATATGCTTTAGCCTATGCCACTAACCACAGAGGACACGTCGTCCCTGCTGCGGGAACGAGGTTATCCACTGTTTTCTAATGAAGGTGAAATTAGTCTTAATTTCACTTAATCTTTGTCCCACAGACTGTAGAAATAAATTCCTTAACGCACATCACTAACCCTTATCATAAAAGCTGCAGGAAAAAAACTCAATCTCCTTCTCCCGTCTTCACGTTTCATGTACTTCAGACATGATTCTTCCTGTAAATGTCTGTCGCAGCGTTCCTCCCAGCCCGAGAGCAAACAACATCAAACTGAAGTATTACACAACAAAGCAACAAGGTTTGACAGAAGTCTGTAATATGTAATATATAATCCAATTAGTAAAGTAACCCCCCCCCGCCGCCGCCTCTCCCCTTCATCTTTACTTTGTGATTGAATCATTGTAGCGTATTCAAGCTGCATAAGCTAGGTAACAATTAAAAAAAAAACAAAAAAAAAACAAAACAACTTTCACTTATGAAGTTCTTGGAAGGCAGGACGGGTTCTGAAAGTGAAATTAAATATTTACAGAACTCACAAATGAGTGATGAGCAAATGTTTAGGCAACTGTCTTATCTGTATAAGAATCACTCCTCAAACAACACTGCTGGGGGCGTGGGAGGGTTGTTTATTTACGGGAGACAACACCTCGAATGACCCCATGTACTGTCAGGGTGCGGGTGGGTGAAGAGATACCGTGCGCTCACTTCCTGTTGAGACGCCACTGTTTAAACAGACCGGTGAAACGTTCTGAGGCCGCTGTGCCTCCCTGACCATGAACGTTATCTGTCTGAACACGTTTTTTTTTGCAAAATTAAACAGGAGGAACAGTTGAAACGGACACTTCATGAATGTCAATGCTTTTGTTCAACTTTCCAAGTCAACGCAGTGTTGCTTTTGATTTTTATTGCTGTGGTGAATGATGTTTAGGTAAGTGTTGTGTTTGATTTTGATTCCAGATCCGAGCGGAGAGTCGTGATCATAGTAATCAGGCAAATTGGCCACACGTTTCAGCCTTTAACAATAACGACTTAACTTGACAGATGAATTAGAGGTTAATTTGCCCGTTTGTGAAGGATGCCAGATGTTTTAATGGAGGCTAATGACTGCTATTACACTGGTTGGTGTGTTGTTTCGGTTTGGGTCGGCAAAAGAAGAAGAAGAAAACAACTCTTCAGAGTTTAGCAGCGTACGGTTTATCTGACTGTAATGATGTAATGGTGCCACTAGTCACTAGTCATTAAGGCCTTGGATAACTCTGTGGTTATAATAGTTGAACAGTTAGGACTACAGCTAACGTGAATCAATTATTAACTGTAGCATAAACTGACAAAAACACTGAGACAGAAATAGCCACACATCTGGAACACATTTCATTATTTTATTTTTTTTCAAACGCTTCAAAACGACAACAGCAAAAACGTCAGGGTTGGAACGGACACTGGACAGACACGTCATCATTTCATTGTAATTAATTACAATTAATGAATTGATTTGAATTGTATTCCGTTAGTGACTTCCTGTTTACACGTGAGCTGTAGTTCACGTTTTTAATAACTCTTTTCAGGAAATGCAATTCCATTCTGAGAAAATGGAAATGTCAGCATCTGTTTTCATGTAGTTACGTAATGAAACCTACTTTTTACTGTGTAATAATTACCAACGTTTTCAAGCATTACTTGACAGTGTCAGAAATAATCCAGGACAGCTGTGGTTTTCAAACTCTGGTCAGCAGACTGAGGATGGGACTTGGGCTCTCTCTAGTGGTAAGGTGATCAAATGTTTCTTTTGAACTAAATTGGTAAAAAGTAGAAAATGAATAAAATGGGATTCTTAAAATCAATGACATCAATTTTTTTTTTACTAAAGTGGGACAGAGATACATCAATTTTTTTTTTTTTACTAAAGTGGGACAGAGAGGGGGGGGGGTACATTCCACTCTGAATCTCCACCTACTGGATATGTACAGTATGTACTGCATGTGTGTGTGTGTGTGTTGGGGGATGGGGTGTGGTAGTACACAGAGGACATGTATGTGAACCACTGCAGTATGATGAATCTCACACTTGCCAACTTGTAGTAGATGACAAATGTTTACACGCACTTCCCAGTTCTGCAGCACGTTCTTTGAAACGCCTGGCACAGGAACTGTTTTCTTGTACTTTAAAGTTGCACCACACTGTGTTGCAATCCTCAGCATCAGCAGTGTTGATGTTGTGACCACAGGTCTGTAACAAAGCTTAAATCAGGTCAAGAATAACACATAAAAACATCTTATGGAAATATTTGTTGGTGTTGACGACGTCCCGGTTACAGTTCCTTAGGAATGTTCAAAGAATCAGAATCACTGCAGTTTGATTGGCTGGTCAGGAGATCGAGGATCAAAGGAACCTCATGTACTGAAGACTGGAACAAAAACAGCAGTACGTAGCTTAGCTTGATCTGAGTTGCTCTGCACGTGTTTGTGTCTCAGTTTCCGTTAGTCCCACCTCATTGTTTATTGTGTTTTATTTATTCAACCAATACAAGAGTTAAAACCACGGTTGTTGTCTTTGTCCTGCACCCGACCTCCACCGTACGATTCTCCCTTCAGCTAAAATAAGACATCCCTTCTTCTTCTTCTTCTTTTTTTTTCACAGCGACACAGGGCAGTGTTTTTCAATCAGATTAGTACAGCACATTCTGTTCTGTTTCACTTCCTGATGACTGTGCAGCCTGTATCCCTGTATGAACTCAGCCGCGTGCTATTGGTTACACCGAGACACTCGTTCAGTCCGACTCAGTCTGCCGACTGCCTGTTAGATTCCAGTTATTCACACCGTATTTACTCAACATGTTCAGCTTTTAGGCTTTATAAGATATTTATACTGTATATAAATAAAGTGACTTCACAAAAAAAAAAAATTTTTAAAAAAAGGAGCCACAACTGAGCATAAAGATTTGAAGCCAATCTATTTTTAATATTTTAAAATATATATAGTATATATTTACATGAACAAACAGTTTAAAGACTTAATTCACTTTTATTGAACCTGTTGTTTCCACCCAACCGTTGCTGTTGTCAGTACAGAACAAGATGTTCATGGTTCATGGTCTGGCAGGAAGGAAGACACAGCAGCTCAGGGCATGTGTCAATAAAGACATCTATTCATACAGTTCAGTTCAGTTCAGTTCAGTTCAGTTCAGGTCAGGTCAGGTCAGGTCACTTCATCTTCACAGGCCGCACGAGGTTCCAGCAAAACATTTAGGTGAAGTTTTTGGTAAAAACAACAAGAAATGAAAATGATCACATAAAATAATAATAATAATAAAAAAAATTCATAAAATAATAATAATAAAAAATAAAGTTAGCATTTTATTTCATGACACATGTAGAGTTGCTTTGTGTCTGTGTTGTTTTTAAAAGAAATAAAGGATAAATACACTTTGTTTCATTAACTGACCCTGATGTGTTTTTTTTCCACTGCTGGTTAATGACGCGCGGTGGCTCAGGTTCATACGTCCAGACGTTGTTATGTCACCTTTATGGTAAATGGGATCGTGGTGTTCTTTTCAAAGGTGGACTGGCTGTGTGCCAGACGTGTGGACAGTGTCCTCAGCACCACTGACTGGAAGACACACCACACGGTCACAAAATGAAACCTCAAATAAACACTTTAGAGTTTAATCTTTTTTTTTAATCAAGTTTGATCATTTTATTGAAGTATATTCCAGACCCCGTCACCTTTTGTTCTGTAAACACAGTGCAGTCCTCCGACCACAAAAGGCACTTTTATGGCTTCTTACAAGAGCTTAGCATTCTCATCCAAACTCCACCATAGTGTACATTTTATTCACTCCCACTGTGACTCAATTACTCGCATGCAAACAAATCTGTACGACACTTTCAAACACACACCGTCAAAGCTCCAGCTCGGTTCTCATGTTATTTAATAATGACGCGTAGTGGAAAAAAAAAAAACACAAATGTTCAAAATACACACACTGTGTGTGGCTAAAATGATTTAATCAAGTAAAAACAAATCACAAAAATAAACAGTCGATGCAGGTTGTAATTACAAACAGGATGTAGCCGGTGGCCCAGAGGTTTTTCTCAGTGCAGGAGGATCACACACTCAGAGGTGTTGTCAAAGGTGTGCATGAAATATAAACAGTGATAAACAGAGACAATTACAGTACACAGAAACACAACCTCATGACAACTAGAAACTATAGACAGTTTCCATAGAAACCACATTCCAGGCGGACTGCTACTTCCTTGGCTACTTTATAGACAGTTTCCATAGAAACCACATTATAAGTGCAGCTCAGCATAATGTAGAATATACACTTTAATAGTTTAAAAATCTTTTTTGTTTATTTTTCAAATTTGTTTATATTTGACAGGAAGCAAAAAAACCCAGACTTGTTTAGGTTCAAAAAACTTTTTGTGACATAAAATAAAGAAACAAAAATCTTATTATTCTAAATCACTTGTTTTAAACACACAAATGCCACTTACAATAAATGTATGGTGGTTATACATATGTTAACAAACAATGGAAATTGTGCTCAGACTTTAAATTCTTTAAAAAAACTAAGTTAAAGTTAAAAATATAATGAATATAATAAATTGATGATTAATTACCTTTGGTTTGCATAAAAAAGGTTAAATTTTATTTAATTACTACCACGTCATATTACACGGATATCTTCTATATTTGCTTACAAATACAATACATTAAACTACTATAATATTCATATTTAACCTCAGTTTAGATGAAATGGTTGCTATGCATAAATAATGGCGTTTGTTAATTTATGTAACGAACAGGATTCACAACGAAGAGAAAAGCACATCTTGAAATCTGACCAGCCACAAAGCTGAAGTATCGTATAACGGTCTTTAAAAAAAAAGATTAAAACGACATTGTTTTCACCATTGTAAAAAAAGAAGGATTAAAACGACATTGTTTTCACCATTGGTTAAAGAATATTCTGCTATTAAACACCTCTGATCTACGCAGTTAAGCTAACGCTTGTATCATTTTAAGTATAAACACCGTAACATCGTAACGTAAGTCACAATTTAAAAGTCCAGAAAGTCAGAGAGCTTCTCATTCTTAAATGAGACGCCTACCTTCAAACAAGTCACCGAAACGTTACAGCAAGTGAAACGTAAAACCAAAACGGAATCCCCGGCGCCGAAAGGTAAAAGTATTTCCTTTTACCACCGATTCAGCAGAGCAGCAGGGATCCGTGTCTCCCCGCGTCTTAACCGGCTGTAAAGTGAGCGTTTCATTCGGCGTCGGTAGGAGCCGCCGGGCGGGCGGGCGGTCGTTCTGGAACTTAACTGTATTGTTTTATTTTTTATCATAATAAAAAAAAAACCCAAACAAATAATATTATTATTATTGTTACCCAGCACTGTTTACTGTGTGTGTTGCCAGTTGAGCGGCGAGGCGAGGACAGTCTGTCGCGGTACAGACTGTTCCCGGTCTGGCTCGGCACGGAACGGGTTACAGGGTCAGTGTGTCTGTTGGAACACAGTGTTCTCATCAACAGCGGCAGCGGCAGCAGCAGCAGCAGCAGCCGTACAGCTACAGTACAGCCGGAACATTGTGTTACTTTGTGGCCGCTTTCCAAGACCTGCCCTTAATTTTACACTAAACTCCCTCCCACTGGTTCCTCTCTCTCTCTCTCTCTCCGCCTCAGCCTCAGCCTCAGCCTCGCTCTACCTCGGCTGTGTCATTGCGAAGAGTGACTGTGGTCCGCGCCGCACGTTCACACAGCAGCGGGGATAAAAGGTGTAGTGGAGGAAGAGGGGAGAGAGAGAGAGAGAGAGAGAGAGAGGAAGGGGGGGGGGGAGAGAGAGAATTCCCTTCACAGGAGTACAGGCAGGCTTACGCACGAAGCACATGGACAGAACATTTAGTTCCCTGCTTGTGCAATGATTGGGGCGGGCTTGAATTAGGAGCAACAGACGCGGTAAGAAAATTCACCGACTGTCTCGGAGGAAAGAAATAGGAAAGAAATCGTACGGAAATGTGAGTTTGTTTGTTTGTTGTTGTCTTTTTTTTATCATTTATTTCAAACCTCTCTTGTTGTTGTACAGCTGTCAAGACTTTTGAGAATAAGAAGTGTCCGCAGAGCCGTGGTTTAACGTGGTTTAACGGCTCCCGTTTGGTTTAAATTGTTGAAATGAATAAGCGGGTATGTTCGATTTAACGTTGTCAGTGACTGGAAGTGGTGCTGTTTGTGACTTAAACAGTGTTTTTTTATAAAGGGGGGGAGTAAAAAAAAAAAAACAACCCTCCATTAATCAGGTCTCCGGTGGAAGTTGAGATGGTGTGGGGGCATTTGAGGTTACAGCTGCAGCCCCACAGTGCTGTGAAAAAAAAAAAAAAGAAGACTCGACTCGCTGTTGTTGTTTGTGTTTGTGTGTGGGACACTTGGTTGTTGGTTTTCCACCGTGAAGACAAGGCTTTACCCACAGAATCCCTCCAGGCTTAGGTATATCTCTCACAGTCCGTAACATAACCTCCAACCCCCCCTCACCCCGCCTCCTCCCCCCACCATGTACTGATGCAAACACATTTTAAAATCCAATCTGTCCAGCAGGGGCGGCCCTCTGGGAAAACTTTAGATGTAACATTTGTGCTGACACTGGTGCCCTGAACTGTTAGTCAGAGATGAAAAAAAAAAACAAAAAACAAAACCAAAAACAACCACCACCTGTTTGTGATGAATAGTTTGATGGAGCCAAACTGCATATTGTTGTCAGTGTCATCCATCACATGAAGGTGTCAGTCCTGGTCTGCAGCCGTGGTGATGCCTCTGTCCCTGTTGTCAGATTGTTAGGTGATTACATGTGAGTCATCCTCAGAGTATGGACATAAGACCGAACCTACAGACGGACCAGGTCGGTCTGTTGATGTCATCATCTCCACTTCATTATGNNNNATTCCTGCGTTCGTCGAGTGTCTGCGTTGAGTTACATGTTGCCTACGTTTCTATGTTTGGATTTACTGATTAGATTTCATAGAAAAACAGAAAAAAAAAATTGTATATTTTACATGTATATAACTATAAATATTACCTCATGAACCTAAAACAACTGTTACTTCAGCCTTGAAAAATACATATGAAAACTGCCAATTCATTTTGACCTGCACGGACACGTTAATGTTAATGTTTAAAAACTGTCCTCAAAAATATCAACCTTTTTGCCTCCATAAATCAGAGCTGGGTGGTAGAAGAGTGGGTCAGATTGGTAAACACCACTCAGCGTTGCCAGTAGGGAACCATGAATAGAAGGAACATTGTGTTCAGATACACACATACCCAAACACACACACACACACACACACGATGAGTTACATGTACAATCAAATCCTTGAATTTTAAAAGAAACAGTACGAGGTGCCTTTAATGAAGGAACATTTTGTGCTGTTTTTAAGACGTTACACAACAGACGTGTGTGTGTGTGTGTGTGTGTGTGTAAAAAGGAAGATGTCGTTTAAATTGTAAAACTTGAAAATCATTTGGTTTTTATTTTTATATATAAACAGAGAAACCCCCGGCTCTTGATCTCCTGTTGTGCTCAACATGTCGTTCAGGCCATGTTAACAATTTCAGGTTTTTTTTTGTGTGTGTGTTTTTTTTTTGATACGATGATCTCATCGTAGACACGGTGTATCTCAGACTCTGTGGTTCACAGAGGCTTTTAGAGAATGTTTGTGAAAAATATCATTGTTGCAAAAAATGTTCTTAAACCTGGAGTATTTTGTTTTTACTGTGGCCCAGAATGTTCTTGATGTCAGGCAGGGCAGACTACTGGGAAAAAAATCTTACCTTATTGCCTGGGTTAAATAATAAGAGTTAAATATTCTGTGTTGGTGTTAAATACACAGATGTCTGTGCTGAACTGTTACTTCAACACAGTATTTTATTTTAAGGAAAGAAATGTCGGACCAGTAACAGATAACGAACACTTTGACTAAGTGGAATCTTTTGTTGTGGTAAAACGTGATTGAAAATGTCTTAGTGTAGTAACACCAGAAGGAAAATATATATTTATTTTTTTCCCCCCTAAAATGATGCTTGGACTCTGTGACTTATGTTCTTCAAAAAGATTTACTGTATGGTTACATTAATGTGAATGAAAAGTATTCCAGACTTTAGTCAGTTTCCAAATAAAAGTGTCGCCCGACGTGGTGTCAAAATTTTTCTTTTGTCAAAATCCAAATTCAACCCTCATGACGTTTCATAATTTAAGGAAATATATTTTTGACATAATTTTGTCGTCACTTTGTTGATGAAATACTGCACTAGCATTTGTCCTTTGGAACTCACTAATCACTTTAATGATGAGTATTACTTGCATTTCTGATTTCTGGTCCAAGAGCCGCTGTGAGACGATGCAAAAAATGTTGACACCTCATTTGTTTCACATGTTACTAATCACCCAATGGCGTCTGGCCAGCGCTTCAGCAAAACAAACGTTTTCCTTGTCTTTGCAGTGTCAGGGATCATTGTCTCACCGGGGCAGACATCAAACTGCCTGCGGCCATGTTTATTTAGCCGGCAACACAATGTGCGCTCTACTGGTTATGGAGGCAGATGCATAATAGTTGACATACTAGTACTTCACAGCTGTTCTGGCTAAGTTGATGGTTGTTGTTGTGACACAGCATTCAGCTTTGTTTCTGCATGATGTGTACATTTAGTATTTAATATAAATATATATATATATGTGTGTGTTTAGTATAAGTGATGTTATCTCAAACATGATCCAATAGATGTTATTCTAGCCACACACTAGACACACACTGCTGCGTCCTTGAGTAAACACAGTTAACCTCACGTTGCCCTCTGCACCCCCGCCACTAAGTGCAAGATCACAAGTGCTGTGAAAGGAAGCGCGTCCGTCATGGAAACTGTGCCAGTCTGAATATGTGGATTACTGCTGTGGTCACCACTGTGTGTTGTTTTTATTTATTTATCAGTGAGTTTTTTTCACCTGGTGGAGTGCAGACCTCTGCAGATTATGATGATGTTAAATTGTCAGCAGTGGTATTTGATGCTTAATTGTTTTTGCCCATTTTTTGCTGTGTATCAGTGAAGCAACATACATAGATTTTTTTTTTTTTATTTTGCAAAATGTGCTGCTTTGGATTCAGCCGGTCTGAGATCAGCTGGGTTGCAGAGATGGTAGGACGTATCTGGGAGTGTTTTTGGATCTGTGTTTCATGTCCACCATGGTGAGAGGCCCTAAATTCTTGTGCTGAGAAATATTGTTGAAATTCACAGAACTTTTTGTTTTCTACCCAGATCATCATTAACTTGTTACATACAGGTAGAACTTTAGCTCTCTTGTCCATTAAACGTTGATTTTACTAAATGTTATATTATAAATATTATATTATATAATTATTCGAGTTGAGTCAAATGTGTTAAGTATTGACATTTTTTTTTCTTTTTCTGTTTTTGGTTGCATTTTCACTAATTTGTAACGGGTGAAACGATGTATCGTTACTCGATTAAAAATGCGTGTGAATTTGCTTTTGATGGAATAAATAAAAAAAAAAAGATAAATCGCGCATCAAGGGAAGGGGAGAAAGCTGCTATTTCAAAAAGTCACTGGTCATACCATGACACTACACACACTTGTACAGTAGGTGGCACTATGCGCATAAAACATTGGTCGTGAGTCGTTATTAAACCCAGACGTCGGGTCCTTACGCCATTGGTTGTGAGTCACTATTAAACCCAGACGTCGGGTCCTTACGTCGGCTATGAGACGTTCAGGTGTTGGAAAAGAACGTGGGAAGAACTTGTTCCACAGACACCAACAGTGTTCTCCAGTGTTCCTGTGAAGAGAGGAACTCTTTCCACTTCCTGTTTTTATCTCATACACTGACAGTTAACCAGGTCAACCAGACCAGACCAGTTTGACTTTGAATCAGAGCAGATCACTGGTGATGTGCAGTGTTTCTGGAAAGAAATGTGACTTTGTTTCTGTTCCGTTATCGAAGAGAACAATTTAAAACAATAATCATGAATCATATCTACCTGGAGCTTCTGTTCTAGGACATTCAATCGACCCGTGAATTATCAGCAGGATGTCGTTTGCCTATCGCAGGGCAATAAAGTTTTGTACGTACTGTGCCTTACAGACTGTGCGTTCCAGGAGATTACAGCGGCCGTAAACAGTTGGCTGTCGCGTTCAGGGTGTACGTTTAGTTAAATTACGACTTCATTTGTGGGGGATTATTCAGTGCAGATCGATGTTAATGGGGGAATCTTTCAGACGGGCTCTCACTATGGTATGTTCTGGATAACACTTGAGTTTTAGATCCTTCGTCTTCTATTTATCAACAAGTTGTGTTTAGAGAATCCCCACAGTTACCATGGATATGTAGATCTATTTTGGTACCGCACGTATTACACACACTTATGTTGTTGTTTTTTTTTTTTTTTATTACACACACTTATGTTGTTTTTTTTTTTACATTGTCGTTAGTTCTCGTTTGTTGTTTGTTTTTCAGTGTGGAAACCCACCTGCAGACATGACGACTGATCAGGATTTTCCCATGGACGCACCAACAGCCACCGCCATATTTGCTGCAAAGGGCATTGATCTAACTCCCAACAAAGACCGAGGGGTCATGAAGGTTTGAATGTTTTTTTTTTAAGATTATGTATCTTTTATGGGCCGCATAAAATGTAGTCATCCTTTACAGGAAGCAGGAAGTTCACGGCTTCACTGATTTGCTCACTGGTCTGTGGGGAGTTTGCCTGTTCCTCAGTCCAAACATCCATGGAGATTAGGAGTTAGTTTGTTGGACCCTCTAAATTGACCATGGGTGTGAATTGTTTTTTTTTATGTGGCCCAGTAATGGACTGGTAAACTGTCCAGGTTGCACCCCACTTTGTCCATTGACTACAAGGATTGGCTCCAGGTCCTCCTTTCCTGTGATAGAAAATGATGGCCGTCTGTGCTAATCCAACGTCTGTGCTAACGCTAACAAAACCAGGCCTTACTGTTGAAATATTTCTAACAGTTTGGACCGAGAAATCGTTAGAAAGATGGTCACTTTGAAGCGTCAAACCAACTGTTATTTCATTTATGTTAATTTCTAGTACTATGATGATCATCAATGGCTGATCAGTTGATGATGACAATGTCCTTGGACGTTTATTTGAATCCACACATCAGAGTAAAGGGAAGTTAAAAATCAAAGAATGTAATTCCATTTTTAAAAAAATATTCCTTTTGTGTTTTCCATTCACATATTCTTTTTTTAAATATTCCTTTTTGTGTTTTCCATTCACATATTCTTTTTATTTCATTGTCAATTAATGGAAGTGTGTTTCCTGTTAGGTTGTGAAGCGGCCGGTGGTAGATGGAGAAGTACCGATGATCGGGGACCGAGTGACTATACACTACACTGGGAGACTGCTGACGGGGGAGACCTTTGATTGCAGTCACAGCCGCAAAGAGGCCTTTTCCTTCAGTGTGGGAAGAGGTAGGCGACACTGAGCAAGGCCAGGGTCAGAAGTACGAAAAACTGTGGTTAAAAGTTGTTTTCTTTGTTGGTGAGACACCAAAGCACTGGGCTGTGACAATTTGATCAATTATACAATTACCGTATTTTCCGGACTATAAGTCGCACTTTTTTTTTCATCCCTTGCCTGGGTTTTGCGACTCGCATATTAAAATATATAATTTTGCATGTTTGTGATTTTCACACTGACAGCAGCTAGAGGGCACTGGTGCGACTTATACTCTGGAATTTATATGGTGTATGACATTTATTAATTTAGGTGTGAAAAAGTAAAAGAACCGAGTGAACCTTAACACACAACAGTCTTGTTGTCGTCCATGTTGATCGTTCTTTTTTTTTTAATCATCTTAGTATTAAAATAATACTTAGGATTTAATTAATTTTCTTTTTCTTAAAATCTCTCCCCACAGGACACGTCCTCAAAGCCTGGGACATCGGTGTCCTGTCCATGCAGATCGGTGAGGTGTGTTTATTACTCTGTAAACCAGAGTACGCCTATGGACCTAGTGGATGTCCCAACAAAATCCCCCCCAACTCCGTCGTAGTGTTTGAGGTACGTGAACCATGTTTGTAGTTTGTTATGACACACTGAAAAAATGTGTTTGTGATTTTATTTTTTTGTGTTATGACAAATGTGTTTGTGATTTTATTTTTTTGTCCTTCGTCAGTTTACAGTTTTTTTTCTTTCATTTTTCAAATGTTTGCCAACAATTAGATGGAGCTCCTCAAATTCAGAGGGGAAACGCTGACAGAAGACGGGGGCATCATGAGAAGAATCAAAGTCAAAGGAGAGGGTTTTGTTTGTCCCAACGACGGTGCGACAGTGAACGGTAACGACACTGTTCGCTACAGGAATGATCAGTGATAACGATACGTTACGCGGCGTCCTAACGAGTGTGTTTTGTCCCACAGTGCACCTGGAGGGGAGCTGCGGTGGTCGACTGTTTGACTGCAGGGATGTTAACTTCATAGTTGGAGAGGCCGAAGATAAAGGAGTTCCTCTGGGAGTGGACCGAGCCATGGACAAGATGCAGAAAGGAGAGCGCTGTATACTTTACCTCACGCCAAAGTGAGTTGGAAGAAATATTAAAACAATATTGATGTCCAATCTGTGGCCTGAACTAGAACCTTATTGATTTGATTGAACAATTAGCTCTTAAAACAAGGCTGAAATTTACCAGAGAAGTATTAGGTTAGGATACGCTGCACTTCTAACTTAAATTTAAAATCATTTTCTAAAGCAAGTGCAGAAATATGATGTGATGAATTTTGTTTTACTAATATCAGTCCATGCTGTATTAATACAAATAGAAATATAGGCACAGAAAACACCATTCTCCATAAGAGTAAAAAAAAAAAATACAGTTTACAGACAGTTACCCAATAGATTTGATTAAGGAAAGGTTAGTAAATAATTTGGCTCTTTATTATGATTTTACAGTTCAATGAGTGGATTTAATTTTTTTAATTTTATTTTTTGCATACCAACCCTTCCTGTTTTCACAGATATGGCTTTGGAAGTGAAGGCAGCGTAGAGTACAAGATAGGACCAGACAAAGACCTGGTATATGACGTCACGCTCAAAGATTTCAAACAGGTGGGCTGTGGTTCTGTCTTTCACCTGTGTTTCAAACTAAAAAAAACAAAACAAAAAAAATGATCACAAACATTTTGTCACTACCTTTCCCTCTCAACAGGCTAAGGAATATTGGGAAATGGATTTGAAGGAGAAGCTGGATTTGGCCGATGGAGTGAAGAATAAAGGGAATCAGTATTTTAAGGTGTTTTTAAAGCCTCCTCCTTGGTTGAACATATCGTTTTAATTACTGATTAAATGTATATTAACATTTTATATGTTATTGTTTTCAGGCAGGGCGCTTCTACCAGGCTGTAATCCAGTACCAGCGCATTGTTTCCTGGTTGGAGATAGAACATATACGTGGGAAAGAGCAGCAGAGAGTGGAGGGCGTCCTAATGACAGCCTACCTTAATCTGGCGCTGTGTTTCCTGCGGATAAAAGAATTTTCACAAGTGGTGGAAAACTGCAACAAGGTGTGTTAAAAATAATTGTACACATTTTAAATATGGCCAAACCCCCGCCTTGACACGTGACTGTAATTACATTACATGTGTTTCAGGTGATCGAGTACGAGAAGAACAATGAAAAAGCTCTGTATCGTCGCGGGGAGGCGCGTTTACTTAGCAACGAATTCAACTTGGCTGTGGCCGACTTTCAGCAGGTTCTTCAAGTCAATCCCACAAACCGAGCCGCACGTGCTCAAATATCTATTTGCCAGAGCAAGATTAAGGAACACAATGAACAGGACAAGAAAACCTACGCCAACATGTTCCAAAAATTCGCAGAACGCGACGCCAAGGTGGGTAAACTCGACGCCTGCGGACACACGTCTGTCTTAGTCACCAATCAGGTATAGCGTAGATGTTTGTGGCTTACACGAAAACTCGCAGCGTGACATCACAATATGCAAATCAAATGATTTCAGACGTAAAGAATGCAGCTGTAGTTATTCTTTAGGTGCAAAATTCTTAGGCTTTTGTATATAACCTTTTATATGTAAATGTTTGACTTCAGAGTGTTGAGGTTTTCATTAATTTTGACACTTGGAACTACAAGAAAAATAAACACCCCTTCCTTCACTCGTTCTAGTTAGTAGTGCACTACTACCCTCTAGTGGCGGTTAAAGGACATGGCAGTTACAGTTTGATTCGGAAGAGTTTTACTATTGAATGTGCGCGAAAGTCAGTTTGAGGGGAACGGCTTTAAAAAGTTTTGAACGCAACATTTGACATGTTCATAATCAGTATACGTAGTAGTGCGCAAATAATTTAAAAACCCTACTATCCTTCAGAAAAGCAACAGTCGACACGTTTAAAATCAGGATGCGCAGTTATGCGCAAACGAGTGTTTTAGTAACCCTACTAAAACAGCAGCGGGAAATGGTAAAAAGCTACCCCTGTATGCTACTAAAACTATTAAGGTATGCGTTAACTTAAATTTACTTTTAAAAAATTAGGTCACTTAATATTTAGAGGTTTACAAATATTTTTTTTAAAATATCTAAAATGTAACATTCCCTGTTATCTACGCAAGTTTAAAAATATTTTTGTTTTAATATCTAAAAAGTTTAAATTAAAATGTAACATTCCCTGTTATCTACGCAGGTTGGGAAGCTGAAGAAGAAGCGGGATGAGAGCAGCATTAACGGGGTTGTGGGAGTCAAGCGGTGGCGCAGTAGCCAGGACCACCTGCCTTCAATCTGACAGTAGAAAGAGGGGGAAGAAAAAAAGAAAAGACAATCCTCTTCCTGCTTTCTAAGACCAGGAAGCCGAGGCTGGAACAAAGTCGTATGAAGCCTCGCATCCAAACTTTTATCGAAATATCTGCGTCACCATTCCTGCATACAGAACACAGGTTTGACACAGCACGTGGAGTGGCGATTCAGTGGAAGACTTCAAACTCCCTTAAAACGCGTTATTTTAACGGACTATTAAAAAAAAAAAATCCGTCTACTGTGGAAAGATGTGCCTCTGCAGTCTGATCCCAAAAACCTATAGATTTGGTAAGTTCTTTTTTTTTTATCTCTCTCTCTCTCTCTATATATATATATATTTATCCAATTGTCGGGCAGCTGTACGCTTGTGTCAGGTGATGTTTAACATTCAGGCTTGCTATATTTAATGTGCAATAAAGAAGTCCCATTAGCTCATTTGTATTTTAGCAGGAAACACAATGAGTTCTAAATTATATATAAGAAAAATTAACTTATAAATACGTTTTTTTGTGTTGTGATATGACATATATGACAGAAAAAGTTGCACAACCTTGAATTGATCATACGTTGGTGGAGTCACACTGTAAATACTGACGCATTAATGATCCAAATATCAGTGAAAAAAATCATCTTCTAGAAAACAAGTCAGTGTTTCCAAAAACAGGTGAATGTTGTTGTTGTTGTTGTTGTTCATCATCTCCAAGCAGCACAAACTACACGTACTTAAAACATCCCAGAACACAGGTCTGTAATCAGTCTGTAATCAGTCTGTAATCAGTCTGTAAACCGTTGTGATGCCTACAGTAGAACATACGCTGCCATACGTCGAGAGGCTCGCCACTGAAACAAAACCAGGTTTTGCCTTTTGTTTGTGACATAATTGAAGGCCTTGATTTAGAGAATACTTCAATCTGTAATCATTTCCAGCTGTGTGTGCATGAAACTCGCCATTTATTTGTTGGAGCGATGAGGGTCGATGAGTTTGTTTGTGCTGATCATCAGGGGGAAATAACACAGTCTATGCCTTTTTGCAGCATGAAAACAAATGATGATTAAAACACAGTTCGTCAGAATGGACTGATTAAATCTTTAGTTTGAAGGTAACTGGATTTAAGGGGGAAAAAAAGACATTTTCCCACTGAATCTTTAGTTGTTTTTTTTTTTTTTTTCTTTAGTGAATGATGAGCTTCTGAAGCAGACACTTGTTGTGCATGAATCAGCTGTGCATGACAGTCAGTGCACATAAATGTTAACAAACAAATCCAGGCAGTAAAATGCCAACTATCATTACAATGTACTAAAAAAAAGATCTTAAAGACTGAGTCAGTGCGAAAGGTGCAAAAAGAAGCTTTAAAAAAACCAGTCTGAACCACAGTGTCCATCAGTCAACCAGCGATTGTCACGTAGGACCGTGATCATCCACATCCGTTCTCTTCTTCTGCCTCAGTGTCTATTGATTCACTGCTTTGAATCTATTTTTTTTTTTTGGCGTCTTTTTGTGAATGTGTGAATGTCAATGACTTGTGGAAAACAATGCACTTTGGTTCCTGGTAAAAAAAACAATTCTTTATATGAAATGTCCAGATGAAATTTGGACAATAATCCTGAGATGTTTTATAAACATTGGTTGGTTTAGAATGAAAACCTTTGTGGTCTTAAATGTCTGCGTTCGTGTGTGTTAATAGAGTGTGTATTGTTGTATGTTGAAGAGTTTTGTTTTACTACACGCCTTGTTTCTAAATGTTTTAAAGAACGACTGGATCTTCACATTCAACATTCAAACCTTTTGTACTTTAGCGTGAACTAATTCCTTTCCTGAGCAAAAACCACACACACACCAGGCTTCGTGTCCCTGCTCTGAGGGCGGAGTCTGAGGCCTCAAGCTCGTGTTTTCTCCAGTTAGATAAATGTTAAGTAAGATTCCCAGAACAGTTTGAGCTGGCTTGCTTACTGAAGTCTGATTGTACCGCAGTTTGGTCCAGTTGGCAGCGTCGCCAATCTGACTCTTGGTTTTCATAGAAAGTGAAGTGTTCTTGTTTGTCATACGACATTTTCAAATGTATACAGAGCTTTTTTTTGTTTTCCCCTGTGAAACAAAGTGTGACCATTGTTTTGAACCAGCATTTATGCAAAAGAAATATTTTCAGACAAACATTAAGTAATGGTACCTTTTGTTCATGTCTTCTTTATATGAATATACGTATATATATACATATATATATATAATCTATATTTTTTGCACTTTGAAAGCATTAAATAAACGTAAGAGTTGCATTAAAGTGTCTTGTTCTGAAGCAGTCTTTAACATGTAGAGCTCACCATTACGAACTGGACAAAGGAATATGGATTTAAAAGTGAGACGATCGGAACGAGAACCGACAGATGTCCACACGGTCTCAACAAGTTGTGTATTTCCACTGGTCTTCATGGTACCAGTATATAGATTAATGTCTTCTTAAATAGAATTTGATGTCACTGTCCTCTGTGATGATCCCATTGAGAGGAAAATGTCTGATAAAGAGCGGTAACTGGCACATTAGAGGAATAGGAATCTGTCAACGTTTGGCTGTGACTTTTCATATCTGAGATTTAAAACAATTTTGTTAATTAAAGCATCAGGATTTTACCATTTCAATCATGTGGCCTAGTAAAAACAGGAACAGGAAGTTACTACACAAGACTGAAGTAATGGTCCAGTACCAGGATGCCCTCCTCACTAGAACAGTTCCTTTCACATCAGCCCTCGTCGGGACCAGGGAACAATCCTTAGAATTCCTAACATCCATAAACCCCGTGTTATTTCCACCGTCGCTCTCAGCGAGGAAGCTTTAGCATCGCGCTGCGCTGAGGGAACAATGGACGTTTTCCGTGGCCAAGGACATGGGTCCCTTTACAGCTGTATTTCAGAGATGTTATTGATCCCTGGTGGAGGACTGTTCCAACACCAAGGGTCGTTAAATCTCTGCTAACGACTCCGTCTTTCTCTGTTTTATGTTGTGTATTCCCAACACAGCTAAACTGGCCTAACCTTTTCAGGGAGTGAGCGGCGATTTCAGTGGACAATTTGTCTGTACTGCAGTCTGTGCTGTTTAAAACTGTGGACAATAATCTATCACCAAAGAAGGTTTCTTAGTAAAACCTTAACCTTAAGTCCTTATAAGGCAAAAAAGACCAATATCTGTTACACTTACAATACAAACAAACATAGAACATAAATTGTTACAAATCATTAAACACATTTCCAGACTCTGTTACAGCACAGACATTCAAAGACACTTCCAAACTTCTTTAAATTACCCTTTTATTATAATAAAGATACTTTTGTTGACCATTTTTATTTTTACAGTGTTGAAATATATTGTGAGGAAAAAAACCTGTGCGGCCACAACAAACCAGTAACTCGTCAGTCCACAGACTGGAGACAGGTAATACTTGTTTTAATACAAGATTGTCTAATTCAAAGACTATATTTGAGATGCTTCATCAAACAATATAATAATAGAAAAATATATCAATATATATATATAAAAGGCCGTAACGTTCACACCAGTCTTTCAGGTGCCTCCTCTGGTCCTTTTGGGTTGAGACCTCTGTGGCTAACCCCCGAACGTGATTCTGTGTCGCATTTATAAAAAAAAAAGGTCACTGCTACTGTTATAGCATAGCATATTAGCATAGCATGTGTCTGTGTGGGTTCTCAGTCAACTTATCCAAAGTACCTGCGTCAAGGTGATGTGACTATTTTGTTAGCATAGCATAGCTACAGCTCTGCTGCTGTAATTTACACTTCACTGTGAGGAGTTAGAGAGACAGTAGAAACTCCTGTTAGTCACTGAAGGCACTTTTACTGTTCTCCACTGGGTGGTGTTAGCAACACTGCTATAGCTATAAGTGACTACGAGGAACCCCCTCAGAACAGATCACACAAAAATAGTAACACAAACAAACTGTTAAAACACCCTCTAAACTAAATGGTTTTCCATATCATTTTAAACATTAACTGGACTGTCGCTTTTTTTTTGTTAGGGAAAAAAAAAACCACAAAACCAAACATATAATATGTACTTCCTGTAAAAGAACATAGTTTCGACGTTGGACGTTCAACTGTAATCTGTCCAGGGTTGGAGGACACGCCACTGTGGCGGGGTAATATGTTCAGTATCAAATTGCTAATACGATAATATTACGATGCGACTTTTTTCAATGGTGCCATTTTAGCTGCAGTACCACCACTGGCCAACAGGGGTTGTCTGTTGGTCACTGTCTGTTTCGAATTTTTTTTTTTTTTTTAAATAAAGTCCTTGATGGAGAAACCAAAATTAAAAACATCCGACATTCATCCCTCACAGCAAGTTTTCTATACAACGAACTGCTGCTTAAATACACGTCAAATCAGACAAAGTGCAGACAAATATTAGAGTAAAAAACAACGTAGCCTTCACTCTGTCAATACAATAATTACAGCACCTTGTGCGATTGACATCACTTTATCCCTACAAAACGTACTGTGCAGTTGTATGAAAGTCCCGTTCACAACTGAGGTTAAAATGTTGAAAAGTCAACATAGAGATAGTAAAGTTGAGGCACTAATATTAACTCTGATAAGGCACTAGTTTAAATGTTTTAACTGCTGCTGTTTTTTTTTTTACATTTAGTTTTGACTGAATATAACACTGTTGCTGAAACCCCGATGCTGCTCATTAGTAACAAACCTGTCACAGTCATAAATGTGAAAAGTAAAAAAAAAAAAAAAAGATATGTTGGGAAAATAAACAAAGGATAAACTGAGCTAGAACTTGGACTCAGACTGACCGCTGCCTGTCAGTCAGAGTGAGTCAGCCGCGACGGCCACAGCTGACTTCTACCACAAGTGTTGTGAAAAATAATAATGATTTTAAAATATAACAATTACATAGTGTACATTAAACACATTGTACTAAACTATATCATTGTATTATTAGTGTAATTTAACACCATTATTATTGGTCCTAACAAGTGTAGCACGGTGATGCCATGGAATACCTCGGATAATCTGGGAACAAAACAAACAGTAAAGATTCCAGTTCGTCCAAAGCTGCTGCAGCTCACGTCTTCTCTCTAGGCGACTATTCTGTTGGGAGGCGTAAGGATTTCCATCGAAAGATTAGCGTTCTTTTTGGAGGCAGACGAAGGCAGGTCTTTAGAGGGAGTACACAGTATGGAGATCCGCTAAGAAAGAAGATCGAGATGTTGGTCTTAAAAAAAATTAAAATTTCTCCACAGAAACAAACACTGTGACGTCAGCTGACCTGTCGTAAGGTTCCCGGCGTGCTGCTTAGCTTGTAAAGCATCCAGAGCGGAACCATGAGCGTAGAGGAGAGCGTGAACCACCAGCCCAGAGCGGAACCCCACCACGGGTACTCGATGGTGTTGTTGAACTTCAGTGGAGTGTGTTTGAGTAAGGAGAAGATGAACGTTCCCTAAAAAAGGCATGGGGAGTTAACCCGGTGAATCAGACCGCGTTTCAGTTGATGAGGTTCTTACAAATCCACTCTCTTTAGAACACGATCTGAGAGGGAACTCTCACTGAGGTTCACTTCTGCTGTCACTCACCATGCAGACCAGTGGAGTAGCGTATTTCAGACAGTGTTTAATCAGAGGTAATGGCCTGTATCCGATCATGTCCTCCACGTTGTCATAAAACCGGTCCGCACCTTTGAGCAGGAGAAAACAGAGTTGATGAAAAGTTAATATTGATGTGAAGGTGCGGACAGACGCATAAAGTAGTTAAAAAACGTATAAAGTACACGCTGGACCTTTGATGTTTTCTACATGATTTGGTGGCTGTTGGTCGACTGTAGTCGATAACGTGTGGTTTGTGCTGATGTGTCATTGGCTTCACTCACCATACACCCATCCCACACAAACAGACTGCAGTATGGCAAAGAGAAGTAAAGTCATCCCACTGCAGGCGTAGTAATCAAACACCTGAAAGATGTAGAGTCCTCCCTGTGAGAAACAGGAAGTGACATCAGCTTCATAACAACCCCTTACATTGTTACACGGTGTGTGGTAACAAGTTTTTATATCTTACTTCTGTGACCATCACAAGACCAATGAAGAAACTGACAACACTGATGGCCAGCAGGAGGAGCTCACGTCTAGCACCAACATGAAAAAAGCTCGGGTTCATGTCAGAAATTCCTGTTGCCAGAGCTTCCAGTCCGACAAACTGGAACACAAACATTTCAGTGAGAACATTGACCCACGCGTGAAAATAAAAATTAAAAAAAAACTTTTTTGCGTTACCAAAATCTCCCCGATTAAAAAATTCAAGACTTTGATTTGTCACATTGATGATTTGGAAAAGTAGGAAAAAAACAGGTAGGGAATATCGAACCGCAACACATAACATCACCACTAGATGTCGCCAAGTCACCATGCTTTAATTTCAACCTTGACGTTTGCTCACCAAATTCTAATCTGATTTCAAAGTATTACATTTAAAAGTTACTAATTTTGCATAAAAGCATAATTTATAATATAAATGAAAGGTTGCGTTCGTCGGGTCAGACGCGACTTTAAATATTGTCCCAACACATGAAAAACTCCACCAACAGGACGTGTGCACCAGGATTTATTGACAAGCTGCGTCGTTAAAACACACCTGAAGGAAGTGTCTGAAGACAAATGTCACGTGTGTGAACCTTACCTCACTGTCGAGTCCCAGGAGGATGATCATAACGAAAAAACAAACTGCCCACAGTTGAGGAAAAGGCATCATGGCAACTGCTCGAGGATAAGCGATGAACGCTAAACCAGGACCTGCGCCCAGATGAATCGATGCGTAGTTATAACATGTTATGCGTCAAGTGTTTCTGCTGCTCTGAATGTTTATTTTTTTTCTATTACTGCTTAAATGTATGAACGAGTTGTTGACTTCCACTTACCTGATTCTGCCACTTTGGATATGTGGACATTTTGCTCGTACGCCATAAATCCCAGTGCGGAAAAAATAGCGAATCCTGCTACAAAGCTCGTCCCGCTGTTCAATAGGCACAAATATACACAGTCCCTGAACCGAGAAAACACAAAAACCTACTTACTGACATCCAGTGTCACACATATAGTTACATAGATATATAGTTATAACTGTTAAACTGTCAAAATACTGAATCTAATTAATCGCAGGCTGTCAGGATTAGGATTAATTGCTGTTGTAATTGCGGTTAGTCTGATGCGTAATAGGCGTCTGCCCTGAATGCCTGACCACAAATTGTTAAATTATTTTTAGATTTACGTTGCTTGTGATTCTGATCTGATTAATCTTCGTACGTTAAGAGGTTAATTAACGCGAGCATACAATAATTCTGAAACCGTTAAAGGCTCGTTTTCACTTCCGTCAGGTGAGACTTACTTGTAGCAGTTGTTGTTGTACTTGTTGTAGCTGCCCAGTGCGGTCAGACAGCCGATGCAGAGAGCGTACGAATAAAAAATCTGTGTTCCAGCGTCCATCCACACCTACGGGGAAATGAACAATGTTGTTATTTATTTATTTAACATTTCTGCTGTTGCTTCACACTTTACACTGTTTCGTTTCAATTTAAGAGCTCGTTTTATAACACAAACACCGTATTCATTGCTGCTTCACAGTTGAGGCGCCATTAGTTTGTTTTGAAAAAAATAAATTAATTAAAATTTTGCCAAATGTTATTAAGGTTAGTATTAGCAGACGTTGAATTTATATTCCACCATTTTTTTTGTTTACCTCATGTTTTAAACACTTGGTTTTGTTACAGTTGCCAAGTGTTTTTGTGTGACTTCCAGGTAAAACAACAGTAACACTTGGACTATGGAGGTTGTTCTTACAGTCAGATGTTCACTTCAGATGTTTACCTCTCCACATTCTGTACCTTAACTACTGAACTTCACGTACTGTACCTGTGGATCACTGAGACGGGAGGCGTCTGGGTAGAGGTAGAACTTGATTCCATCTAAGGCTCCGGGCAGAGTGAGTCCTCGTACCAGTAAAACCAACATCATGACATATGGGAAGGTGGCGGTGAAGTAAACGACCTGTGAAGAGCAGAGCCACGTTCCTCAGTACTGTGTAATAACCGTTGTCAAAGACAAATCACAACAGAAGGTTAACATCGCGTCTTCTTTATTTTTTAACTCGTCTTTCGTCGATGTGTTCAATGCGGCGTGTTTTTCTAAATTACAATACGTGCCACGGTCTGGTCTTACCTTCCCGGTGGACTTCACACCTTTCCAGACACAAAAGTAACAGACGATCCAGGACAACAACAGACACAAGGCCAACTCCCAGCGTACACTGCCCAGCTCGTGGATACTGTCCGTGATGTTCAGAACTCTTCTCCTGCAGAGTAAAGTTTCACTGGTTTATTTCTAAATTACCTTCATACCCAGAGAACAGAAAAGTGTTTTTAAAATTACAACTTACTCCCAAAACTCTCTCACGGGCGAGGTTGCATTTTCTGGCATGGTTCCATTGAAAATGTCACTCTGTCTGTCAAACTCAACGCAGCTCTCTGCAGGAAACACAACACAGGTCTTTATACAGTTATACAGATTATACAACCACAGTCATATTTCATCCTTGAAAGAGTGACAGTTCAATATGTTGCCAGAGGGGGCAGCAGTTTAAACAGGACTACTTCATTTAAATAAATCCCACAGTTAATCATTTGTCCTTGGCTAATTACTAACGGGGTGAGTCTGTTTATCAAATCATGTCATGTTGACGTGGCTGCAGTTCCAGTTCCAATCTCTATGTTACATCATGGACATAAAGTACCAGGAGGACAGAGTTGGTTCTGTCTTTAGCGAGGAGTTTCTGCCAAATTATTTTGCATGTACCAACAGTGGATTTATTACTTTTTTTTATTACTACCGATTAATCGGATTATTTTGTCAATTTGATTTCCGCCCCTGACGTGTTCATTTTTAAAGCCCTGGCTGTACTCCATAACTGCCACTAGGTTCCTACAATATTCCCATTGTTTGACCAAATATTCCACAGCCAGAACGCGACATGAATATTCACAGAGTAATTCAGTGTTAAAGCTGCTTTTAATTCACATTTTCCCCACATGCAAAATAAAGTGGATCTGCTTTGTGTATTGTCCTTTGGTTAAAAATAAGTCCACACAGCTGACATAATCACTCCAGGGTAGCTGGCAGTGGAACCTCTTCACATTCTGGTCACACACGGCAGTTGCTCAATGCCTGGGCTGCCCGTGCTCCGCAGAGTTTTCATGGAAACACGGTCGGTTGTGTGGGGTTAGGAGTATTCGTCTTTGTTCGTTCGTTCGTTTGTTTGCCGTAAAATACCTGTGTTCCAGCTGTTTCTGCAGCTCGCCCAGGGGAGTTCAGAGGAAAAAGAGCAGAAGAGATAGAGGAAGGCCCAGGCCAGGATGATGATGTAGTAGATGCTCGAGTATAAAACAACAATCTGATTGCCGTATCCTATCCCTGAAAAAAACAAAAACAAACAAACGATAAACCGACGCCGGGTTAGCGGTTAGCGGTTAGCTATGGTACGGTATATAAACCATATTTGTTTACCTTCAAACAGGGGGCAGATCTTCCTCCAGCAGGTGATTGTTCCCTGTTTGGTGTACTGACCCAGAGAGGTCTCCAACAGGAAGAGGGGGACGCCGCAGGTGAAGAAGAAGAGGATGTAGGGGATGAAGAACACACCTGTGGTGCGGCACAGTCGGAGTGTGAGATTGTACTGCGCGTTGTAGGAAACACAGTCGGTCGGTAAAAGAACTCACCGCCGCCATTCTTGTAGCACAGATAAGGAAACCTCCAGACGTTTCCCAGACCGATAATCTGTCCGGCCACGGCCAAGAGGAACTCGATTTTGCTGGACCACTCTCCTCGGCTCTGGACATTTGACGCAGGATGGGCGGCTGTTAGCCCTACCTTGATCATTGGGAGTTGGGAACCGTCCATCACACTGCAACAAGAGAGAGAGAGAGATTCTAAAGATGACCTAAATAATACTAAAAAATCCTTCCTGTATCGTCCATTACCTGCTCATCGGCGACACCTGTCAGTTCTGACTCTTTCTCGAGCGTCAGAACTCTTATACATTTGTAGTTGTCGAACAAGTTTTCTCAAAATTTGTATGAAACAATAAACTTAGTATCTAATGAATTCTCTGTTCTGCGTTAACGACCGTGTGATGAGTTTGTTTAGCTCATGACTGATCCACTGACTGCTAATCAGGCGTTTGCCCTGCTATCATCTGATGTCACCTTGGGTCTAAAAATGGGTGTGTGCGTGTGACCAGTGATACCAGTGTGGTCATGTCATGGTCATGTTCAGGTCGTCTTCTTATGTTTGTGGTAGTAGATAGAGATGATGTCAGAACCAGGCAGCCATACCATAACACAGTGGTACGAGTGTGGACTGACGTCGGAGATTCTCACAGCGTGGACAGAACGGCTACACTTCAACAAAGGGTCCCTGCTCCGTGGCATGGGGTCTGGTTTCTCATCAATGTTGCTTTTGTTCTGCGGTCCTAATGTGGGAGTGAAGCAACTGGGCTGGAAAATATGTGTGCTACTACATTACACACACACACACACACACACACAGGCAGTTATACCATGGTGTGAACACCCGGCCATACCGTCCATTTTTATACCTGTAGTTCTGTGACCTTTGCCCTGAAGGTCGATGAAGTGTGAATGTGAGCGTGAATAGTTGTTTGTCTCCACATACGGCGTAAGACGTTTCTTTTCTCGTTACTGTAACTCTATTAGTACCGACGACGGACTGACGTTTATTTTCTCGTTACTGTAACTCTATTAGTAACAGTATGGGAGTAAGATAACAATGTCAGCAGTTTGGAATAAAAAAAAATTCATTAATTCTCTGGGATGTTCTGTTTTGATAAAGCTAATTAGTAAAACTCCTGCAGATTCTGCTGAAAAACAATCTTTTTTTTACAGTAACAGTAGGAATGAGTTGTTATGATCATAATCACATGTTCCAGATAAACAGTCTGGTTAATATGATCGTTGTTAGCACGCTGTTGGCCGTAACATGAAAGTCCAGCCCTGGGTTTTTTCGAGGCAGTAAAGTTTCTAGAATAGAATAGAATAAAAAAAAGTCTTTGTTGTCATCGTACAGCACGTGTACAACAGAATCCTTTACCTGGATCAGCCGTAGAGTCCTGAAGTCCTGATGCAGTTCAAAGATTTGATTGACTTTAAACTACGGCAGGTGAAACCTCAGATAAACCTGTGTTCAACCTGGGGGCTTCAAACCTGCTCGGAGGTGTTAGCTGCTGCACACGTTAGCGCTCCCACGGAGCACGTGGTTTTTGGTTCCATTATCTTTGCTTTGCTGTGAGGTCGACAGTTGATATTCTTCAGTCGTGAGTCGCTGTCACCAACTGGACCGGTGACCACAACAGTGACTGAAAGTCACTCCTAATTTCTCAGTTTGAAGAGACCGTTGACTTTCCTAAACGTCTGCAGCAGTGCCGACCACTTCTGTACCTGACTGCACTAAAACTGCACTCCATTGATCAGGTCCATCAGGTGTGTGAACTCTCCAGCTCATCTGGAGTCGCACTGTCTGGAAGGTGAGGAGCAGGGAAGGAAAAGTAGTTTCACAGTATATGTGAATATATGGTTGTTTTTTATTTTTAATTTTCATTCATTCATCCTTCAACCACTCGACCATTTACCCAAACAAATATTGACCCCTCTGTGGTGCGAGGGGAAAAGAAAAGTGCGAGTTATCAGCTTCTGACCCTCAACATGAAAATGCAGAATTTTACAGCAACACATTAAATATTTGTTTATGTATTTCAGTCCAGGGTCAAGTTGACAAGGTCGTCCACAACTGCCTGCTAATGTTTGGTGCGTTTGGTCCAGGTCTTGAGCCATCGAAACCTGCTGCTTATATGTATGTAAATGTATATTTGTGTATATATATATATTTATATAAAAATATACACACGTAGGTATCCCTACAACACACCTGGATAAAGTAGAGACTTTGGAAAAAAAACACGTCTGAAAAAGTTCAGTGTTGACTCTTTGACCAAGGAGACAATGATGCTGAATGACCTTTGACCTTTGACATTGTTGCCACTTCACATTCCTGACCTGTTTGGTTCACATAAAGAGGCCGCAATTGGTTCAGCTGCCGTTTGGGCGTCTGGACACGTGAGTGTCAGTCGGCTGAGACGTGACTCAGGTGCGGTTGGTCTACAGAGCGAAACGCAGCAGAATGTGTAAAAAAAAAAAAAAACAAAGACAGGAAGTGACATGGAGAGCTGGGACGTTTGGGCTGGAAAGAAATAAATCAAAGTCAGCAGCGGGAAAGTGAAGAGGCTGAGGTGGAGAATGTCCAGTGACGTGGAGCAGTGAGAAGGAGCCGGAGGTGAATGACATGTATGGACGGAGGACTGTATGGATGCCTGTGCCTGGAGGGGGCGGGGCTTCAGCCAGTTCAGCTGGTCTGTAAATCAAAGCCAGGTTTTTTTTTTTTTTTTTTTTTTACCTCTTTCCTCTTTCATTGTCCTTCCTGATCTCTGCTTGATTCAGGTTAGCTCTGTGACGGTGTGAGGACGTCCAGGCAGAGCGGTCCGAGTCAACATGAAAAACCCGAACTTTTTCCCGATATCCAATATGGCAATATTGTCCAAACACACCGATTCTGATATCAACCGATACCGATATAGACCTGGTCATATTTATTTATTTATCTGTACAAACCGCTGCATGAGTACGAGTTTAATTAAATGAGCTGCAATGCTGCCATCTAGTGACCTTCACGGTATTCATTATTGGAGGAAAAAACAATAACGATGTGTACAGATATTACATAATTATGCTAACATCGGTTGGTCGATACCATTGGCCGACCCTAATTTCAATGTTCGCAATTTTCTAAAGCCTAAAGACGACAACAAACTGACATAGAACAGAGTTCCTGTCCTTTTACTTTCTACGTCAGAGAACCTGTAATATTGTTACTTCTTGTCTCGTGGAAAAATATTATTAAAATATTTTTTTATCACTTGCAGATTTACTGCTCCATCAAAACAAACAAGCCTGAGGTGACGAGACTGCAGTTACACACGATACACAGTCATAACGAAAGCTCCGCGGTGACAGAGTCAGGTGACACTGAAGACGCCACGGTCTGACAGAGGTCACGCAGCTGTATTGATTATGAAAACACACCCTTGAGGTTCACCGACTGTTCACTGACTGTTCACTGACTGTTCACTGACTGTTCACTGACTGTTCACTGACTGTTCACTGACTGTTCACTGACTGTTCACTGACTGTTCACTGACTGTTCACTGACTGTTCAC